GCACGGCTCTTGTCTTCTGGCATCGCAAGCATCGTCTCGTACGACGCCATTTGCCTCTCTGCGTCCGGCACCATGGCGCGCATTCAGCCGACGCGGTCGCAGTATGTGGTTGGCGCGGTTTTTTCTGGTCTACAACTAACAGACAATTTTGCTGCTATCTGTGCCCATGACCCGTCGTATCCACTGCAATGTCAGTTGTACCTTGTACAGACTCTCAACTACATCACGACGTACATGACAACACAGTCCTCGTCGTCGCTCGAGAGCCGAATTGCATGCGTCCAGCCGCTCGTCCGCGACTTGAACATCTCGTTCATGATCTACACCAAGGCCACCGCTTCTTCGCCAAACCTTCAGCTGCGCACCAAGAAGCTCCTCGACGACACTGAAGCGTCCTTCCGCTTCTTTGCATGGCTCTACCTCTACGACTGGGTCGTCGGCGTCCGTGAAGTCATTTCATTTCAGGGCGACAACAACACCCTCACGCTCCTCAGCGACATTCAGCTGCCATTGGCCCAAGCTACGCAGCCGTGGGAAGTCCCTGCCAACATTGCTCGGTACCTGCGAGCCGGCGTACTTTATGTCACGGGTGTCATGATGGCGATTGCGAGCGTGGTGACCTTGTACATGCTCGTGAGCCGCGGCCATTTCGAAGGTCTCAACATGCTCGAGCTTGGCCGAGTCGGCGGTATCGTCTGGGTCGGTCGACCGTTCTTGCTGCTACGGAGTATGACCGCCATCGTCGTCCTGTCGACAGCGACGCTCGAGCTGCAGTACTCGGGCTATACAAGTTACTTGGCCACTGTTCAAGATCCGTGGTACAAGACATTATTGGCGGCCAACGAAGTCACGTGGCTCATTACGATCGTCAACGACATCCTTCTCGTTGTCACAGGACCGTACGCGACGCATTATGCGATTCTCAATGGTCTCTTGGTGTGGGCCATAGCTGCGCTCCTGACCATCTTGGCGCCTGTCACCTCGAAGCTTTCAGTGCACCTCGACTGTCACTTGAGTAGCGTCGACCACCAAGCCGAGTGTACCTCGGGCGAGCTGCACATTGGGAGTGCGTACCGCATGGCGGTCCTCATCGGCGCCGTCCTCGCCTCGCACGGGGTCTGCTACCTCGTCGTCCAACGAACGAGCCGCAAGCCGCCGTCGACGCATGTCGCGTCACTCTTTTTGACGTCGGGGGCCAAATTCCTGTTTGTGTCGACGCCGTGGATGTACAAGAACGTCTACTACGTCGACCGCGCGTCGGCGGCGCTAGTCGGTTTCTTGACACTGCGCCTCAGCACCACGTTGGTGGTTTTGGACGTCAAGATTTGGCGCCATTTCCAACTGCCACTGACCAATGACGCGGCGGTGCCGACGGCCCTTCGATGTGGTGTGCCGCTGCGAGATACGTGTTAGCAGCGGTGGATTATGGATGATGAATACATTCTCTGTGTTGTCTCTTGGACTGTGCAATATTCGAAATCGGATAGCGATGTTTGATTGGCTAAAACTATTTATACATATTGACAGTATTTAGAGATATAATGTGAAAAGACCAAGGACATCTTGTCCATAGAATTAAAATGCACTACTGAACGACGAGTGGTAGTGCGGCCTGCAGCGGCGGCGGAGTGTCGCGCAGCATGGTTTCAGTCGACACGACAAATGCGCGCCAAATCTTGATGTCGAGGACGACCAACTTTTGGCCCCAGCGCAGCGTGAGCAGTCCATTAAGGGCTGCCGACGCGCGGTCCACATAATAGACATTCTTGTACATCCACGGGGATTGCGTAAACAAAAACGTAGCGCCCGACGTGAGAAAGAGTGACGAGGCGGCGGTGGACGGCCGGAACTGCACACAACACGAGACAACAACGTAGCAGATCGCATGGGAGCCGACGACCAAGCCAATCAAAAGCGCCATACGGTCCAGATGGCCAATCTGGACCGAGCCCGAGGTGCAGCTCGCTGCGTAGTCGACGTCGAGCACGTGGCATTGGAGATCGATCGACGCGATGGCCGTCACGGGCGCCAACATCGTCAGGAGAGCAGCCGCCGTCCACACCAACAAGCCGTTCAGCATTGCGTAGTAGGCCGCATAGT